TGTAACCTGTCTAGGTCTGATTGTAGCCTGTTGCTTCCTTCTAGTGTGCCCACGTCCCCCCACATCTTAGTGTCATCAGCAAATTTGAACAGGGTGCTTTTTACCCCCTCGTGCAAATCACTGATGAAGATGTTGAACAGCGCGGGCCCGAGGACCAAGCCCTGTGGAACCCCACTGCCCACGTCCTTCCAGGTTGAGAAGGACCCATCCACTACCACCCTCTGCGTGCGGCCCTCCAGCCAGTTGGCGACCCATTTGACTGTGTGGGTGTCTACGCCACAGCCCCCCAATTTCTTAATGAGAACAGGGTGAGAGACAGTGTCAAAAGCCTTCTGGAAGTCCAGGAAGACTATGTCCACTGCTACCCCTGCATCTAATGATCTGGTGATCTGATCGTAAAAGGCCACCAGGTTGGTCTGACAGGACCTGCCACTGATGAACCCGTGTTGGTTGCCCCTAAGCATGCAGTCCCCTGCTGGCCCCTCCTGGATGTGTAACAGAATAATTTTCTCGAACAGCTTGCCTAGGATCGAGGATAAATACATGATGTTTACAATCTAAAAATTAACTCAAGAATTCCTAGAGAAAAAAGGGAAAAGATTTTAATGCTTGCAGAAGCATGGCTGGGAAATGCATTCCAAACGTGCCTATAACTATTAGGGGTGTGCGAAGTGGGATCTGGATTCCGCCCGATTCAGGGGACAGTGATTCAATTCACTGATTTGGATCACTGTCTTGATTTGTGTCAGCTGAATCCGAATCTGAAGATTCAATTCTGATTCAGAGAATCAGCGATTCGGCCACAGACACAGCTTTATATGTTTTTTCTACATACCTCAGGGTACCAGGTGTGGCTCATGAATGCTGAGATGGAGGGGCAGATGAAGCATCCCACATGCTTGGCAGCAGACCTGGAAGTGGACCAGAAGTACTTCCGGTCTATTTCCAGGCCCACTGCCAAATGCACGGGGGACCGCAGGTGCCCCCCCAGTCCCAGGAGGCACCAGTTGCTGAGCCAGGGGCCAAGGGAGTCCCCCACATGCTCCGCAGAGGACCCAGAAATGGACTGGAAGTGCTGGGCACCCCTCATGCTCCTGTGGGATGCTCTATCTGCCCTACCATCTCGGCATTCACAAGCCACCTGGTACCTTGAGGTTTGTAGAAAAAACATATAAAGCTGTGTCTATGTCTGAATTGTCAAATCTCTCCGAAGCGAATCAGAGGCTTCCGATTTGATTCAGAGAGTTTAATGGGTCTCCTGATTCAATTCGGATTAAGAGATTCGGCCACCAAATGGGGCCAAATCTCCTCCGAATC